CCTCCTGTCTGTAAGCAGACTCGTCTCCATCCTTGATGAGACCGATGACTGTAGTGTCATCTGCATACTTCAGGAGCTTGACAGAGGGGTCTTTAGAGGTGCAGTCATTGGTGTAGAGGGAGAAGAGCAGTGGGGAGAGGACGCAACCCTGAGGGGCGCCAGTGCTGGTGGTGCAGCTGTTGGATGTTAATTGACCAATTCTCACTAGCTGTTGCCTATCTGTCAGAAAGCTTGTGATCCATTGACAGATAGAGCTAGGGACAAGCTGGTGATCCATTGACAGATAGAGCTAGAGACACAGAGCTGGGTTAGTTTGGTCTGGAGGAGTGTTGGGATGATGGTGTTGAAAGCAGAGCTAAAGTCCACAAACAGGATCCTCACATAAGTCCCTGTTTTGTCCAGATGTTGCAGGATGAAGTGCATATTGCATATTGACTGCATGGACCTGTTTGCTCGGTAAGCAAACTGCAGGGGGTCAAGTAAGGGTCCAGTAATGTCCTTCAGATAAGCCAACACCAACCTCTCAAATGTCTTCATGACCACAGACGTTAGGGCCACAAGTCTGTAGTCATTAAGTCCTGTTATCTTGGGTTTCTTTGGGACAGAGATGATGGTGGAGCGTTTGAAGCAGACAGGGACTTCGCACAGCTCCAGTGATCTGTTGAAGATCTGTGAGAAGATGGGGGCCAGTTGGTCAGCGCAGGTTTTCAGACAGGCTGGTGTCACACCGTCTGGGCCTGGTGCTTTTCTTCTCTTGTTCTTCCTGAAGACCGCACATCATCCTCATGAAATGTAGGAGTGGGGGAGAGGGGGGTTGCAGGAGGTGTTGATGGTTGTGTGGAGAGATGTTCAGAGTGGGTGTTAGACTGGGAGTTTCAAATCTACAGTAAAACTCATTCAGGTCTTCAGCAAGTTGTTGATTGGCCTCAGTGCTGGGGGATGGTGTCTTGTAGTTGGTGATGTCCTTCAGGCCTTTCCACACTGATGCAGGCTCATTCGCAGAAAACTGGTGTTCTAGTTTTTTAGCGTAGTTCCTCTTGGCCACTCTAATCTCCTTATTCAGTGTGTTTCTGGCCTGATTGTACAAGAATCTGTCCCCCCTTTTGTAGGCGTCTTCTTTGGCCTGACGAAGATGACGAAGTTTTGCTGTAAACCATGGCTTATCATTGTTGAATGTTAAATGAGTCCTGGTAGGGATGCACATGTCTTCACAGAAACTGATATATGATGTTACAGATTCCGTGAGCTCGTCCAGATCATTGGTGGCAGCTTCAAAAACACTCCAATCAGTGCAGTCGAAACAGGCTTGTAATGCCTGCTCTGTTTCATTGGTCCATCTCTTTACAGACTTTACTACAGGTTTAGCAGATTTAAGTTTATGCCTGTAAGTCGGTATAAGATGAACCAGGCAGTAGTCAGAGAGTCCTACAGCTGCTCTGGGGACCGAGTGATATGCATCCTTTATTGTGGAGTAACAATGGTCCAGTATATTACTGTCTCTGGTGGGACATGTAACATGCTGTCTGTATTTTGGCAGTTCACGGGAAAGATTGACGTGACTGCAGCCTAATATACCTGCTGCTTTGCCTTTAATCTTAATAAAACAATAAAAGAAAAAGAGAATGTAACATACTTCTTTTGACTGAATAACTTTTGCAGCTTTAACAAGGATCAATGTATATTTAATTCCTACAGTGAAGACAGGGCGGTGTTTTATTTTACATTCTAATTAATCAATTTGTGTTGTATTTTGAACCAAAATAGTAAATCTACCCCCCAAAAAATGAAAACACTCTTTACTTAATTTGTATCATTGTCCTATTGTTTGTAATTTGTTTCAAGAATTTGGTAAAAAATTC